GTTGCGAGCTTCTCACTGACTTGTTCGAGTGGTCCTAACAACGATCGTGATCGAATAAGCTGCTGATGTGTCGGCAACGCAATCGGAAAAGTATATGTGTATAAATGTTGAAAGTAAGCAACAGCAGCGTCAGGAGCAGTAGGGTGCAATCCAGGGTGGAGCAGCAGCAGCAGCAGCAGCGGCACCTCCGAAGGCCTATCTTTGTGCTTTCAGATGTAGTAGTACTAGTACTAGTAAGCTTGCACTCGTAACTGAACAAAGCAGTATTACTGCTTTAACAAATCGTAAAACATGGAACACATGTTGTAAACGATCCGGATAATTAGTAACGCCGGGTCAGTGGTAGCTACCAGCCAGCTACATGATGCATACGCAGCCCTCAGATATCAAGTGAATCGAGGCGCGCACCGCGGACCTGTCCCGAGGTTCACGCTGAATAAACAGAGTCACCCGCCAGCTATTTGTACCTGCTTCTCTGAGATACCAGCTGAGAGGACCTGCAATCATCACATCCTACTGTCGCATGAATCAGCTTTACAGCTAAATATTATAAATGCCTAGAAATGCTCCGCAACGAAAGGGTTCACTGAACAGATTGTTTATCACACATTAAAAGATCTTTGCACTTCCAGGGCACTACCCGAACCCTGGAAATTTTGTTTAGAAAGACACAAGAGTGTTGCATGATTCAAAAAGACTGGGGGCGAAAGGGGAAGGGGGGAGAGGACATGGGCTGTTCCAGCCGGGCTGAACTCAGAAACCAGAAGGCACTGATTTACAGATGCAAATGACATGGGGCATACCGAAATTTCGTCCTAAGCGGCGCAAAAAAATGTGAATTGATTTTGGGCTTCGCTACAGATGCTGCCCCATTGCCGACATTCCCAGACTGCAGTTTTGCTAGCAACTTAATAGTTATAAGTTCGAAATTTTTGCAGTTTTTGAAATTTCAAGCTTTTTACTTTCCCGGTTCTTCAGTTATCAAAACTAGTGTAAATTTGCACTTCAAGCCATAGATCGCAGTACAAAGATGATGCAGTCGTATCCGTTTTGAGTAAATAAGACAATTAAGCATCGTTTAGCTTGCCGCTGGACAAGTCATCGGACAAACACAAGGCTATGCGTTTCGATTGCTTTTGGCGAAGTAACTTTATTGTCCAGTGACTGCCTTCCCTTTCATTCGGAGATGAAAGAGATAGGGAGGCTCTAAGTTCG